CAACCTGGGGTGCCCAGATGTTTTTGGCCCACAACTCCCAGAAATCCCAGCCAGTTCACCAGCTGTTAGGATTTCTGGGAGTTGAAGGCCAAAAACATCTGGGGACCCCAGGTTGAGAACCACTGCCTTAGAGGAAAATAATGGCAACCTTCTCTGGCCAAGAAAATGAGACTGTCACAAGTTTGAGTCTACATAAAGGTACAAAGTAACAACAACCATAAATAAATTACCGTCTGGAGAACTGATAGCACACCATTAACTTTGGTCACCACTCTTCTCACATCTACCATTGCCATTGGCTCAACAGAATACAATCTGAAGTCATATTTTTTTACATTGTGAAGTGGCTCAATCACCATGCATGAAAAGCTCAATGTCACTTAAGCTTTCCTAGGCTTTCTGAAGGAAGAGCAGAGCAGAAATGGAATAAATAAAATAAAATGGGAATTTTAGATCATAGAAAGCTTCCCTAAACTCCAAGGTTTAGTTTTAAAATCATATTGATGGAGAGTAATATGTGAGGAAGTAGGCTCATGTTTTATTTTTTCTCTACACTTACAGCTCAGTCATTTCCATTTGCTGTTTCCTTTTTGTGTTTATAAACCACATATTTAATAATAGATTGTTCCTCATTCTTTGTTGCATAGAAGAAAAACTCAAGCTCATTATAGTTTATGTCACTCTGGCTGTCATTTGGACTTAGAAAGCAGTTATTGTGATGTGCAATAGCTTTGCCCCAGCCTTTTCTGCTGAAGACAACGAGTTGCTGAGGTGCGATTAGAGCTAATTAGAAGAAAGTCAATTACCAGAGATCTTCCCTGGAGGATTAAAAATGCCAGACAGTGCCATCAACTGTCTTGTATTTTATTTTCAGATTTACTGAGAAAATTATTTAATGGCTGTGCTTGCTGTGAGGGGTATGTGTGGGACAAAGAGAAAAATCCTGAACTTTTGACATGTCAACATGTACAAAATTCTGTTTGTCTTTTTTTTAAAAAAAGTAAGTGTTGATTACAGTGCAATCCTTTCCTCAAATGATACCTATTAGTCCCAGATAGCATCATGACAAATACTGTATGCCAGTGGAAAAAATGTCAGATTGACCCGCTTGATATATGGTACTGTCATGTTGTTATTGCACCAGTGTTAAGCACAATTAGCAGTAAACTCCATGCACAAGGAAGAAGAGAGGAGCTGATGACATTCTGGGGAGGTGGGCTAATTTAAAACTGCTCCATCAGAATAAATGAGAAGCCCCATATCAACACCCTCCTCTTCCTCTTCCCCCCTCCTCCTCCAGGCCCCTTCCACACAGCTGAATAAAATCCCACATTATCTGCTTTGAACTGGGATATATGGCAGTGTGGACTCAGATAACCCACTTCAAAGCAGATGTGGGATTTTCTGCCTTGATATTGATATTTCTGTGTGGAAGGACCTTTCGATAATAATGCTTTGACTCAGTAGTTCAGTAGCCAATAACAGAAATCTGTCAAGAACATGCACAGGCACACACATAGCCTGACATCCTGTTAGTGACATGTGTATATGCTTTGCTAAGCAGGCAGGACAGGTTTTTAACTGTAGTGCAATGAATTTATTCTACTGACAGTGGTGGTGTCAGAGTCATATAAACAGTAAGTTGCATATTGCTGTTATGTATAGTGAACTGCGTACCGTGGTTGTTTATTGCATACTTTGCCCTGCATTGCTTATGACAGTTATGCAACATCATTCAACTGCATTCAGTCATTGATATGTGTTGCAATGTTTGGAGATATGTTATATTAGTATTGCATGTTGGGCAGTACTAACCTACCATATCTCCATATGTGGATATCAAACGGTCTGGTTGCCAGAATCTTGTTTTTTTTTTTTTAATGTTTAACTGCAACCCAGCTTTTGCACTTTCTTCTTTCACCTGGGTTAGAAGGCTCCTCAGCTCATCCTCGTTTTCAGCCATCAAAGTGGTATCATCTGCATATCTAAGGTTGTTAATGTTTCTTCCAGCAATTTTAACTGCAGCCTTGGATTTGTCAAGCCTTGCATATTGCATGATGTGTTCCGCATACAAGTTTAATAGATAGAGTGAGAGTATAAAGCCCTGCTATACTCCTCCCCAATTTTGAACCAGTCTTTTTTTCCGTGGTCTGTTCTTACTACTTGGCCATTATACAGATTTCTCAGGAGACAGACAAGGTGGCTAGGTATCCCCATACCACCAAGAACTTGCCACAATTTATTATGATCCACACAGCCAAAGGCTTTAGAATAGTCAATAAAACAGAAATAGATGTTTTCTGAAACTCCCTGCCTTTTTTCATTATCCAGCAGATATTGGCAATTTGGTCTCTCTTTCTTCTGCCTTTTCTAAACCCTGAAAAACGTTCATTGGATATTCTGATATGTGGGGACACTTCATACACAGTGGTGCATCAGTGAATGTGTGGTCTATTGCTGTTGAAGGGCATTATGTTAGAGGGAAATAAATTATTTATTTATTTGAATCATTTATATTCAACCCTTCTCACCCTGAAGGGGACTCAGGGTGGAGTACATGTAAATGGCAAACATTAAATGCCAGGACATGAATAAATTATACGCATACATAAACATTAAAAACATTTGTCTCAAATAACAACTTTAAGGCACAGCTCCAATATGTCTAGGCCCAGAAACAAATGAAAAACCCTCCCTCCATCTCAACTGTCACATCTGAGGACTCAGAGGGAGGGAACTAACTAGCTAGCTAACTAACTGAAGGCTGAGTTGAACTAAGATGTACAGTGAAATTTGAATCACATGTCTGGAATCTTAATTGTCATTTCATCCAATCCTAATACAGGAAATTTAATACTACAGTAACTCTTAGAGGCAGCATTTATTTAAAAACTCTAAGAACTATGTGTTGATCACATTCCAAGAAAGTCTGTGCTGCGGTTAAAATGCTCATCCCACCAAGAATGTATTTTAATGCTTAGACAAAATTCCCATGAGTTCATTGGTTTGGGACTCACATTCTGCACTTGATATTAAAAAAGATTAACTGAATGATTAATACATACAAGTGAATCGGCATGTAAAAATAAATGTTCTCTTTGGTCAGGGGTATCATAACTGTCCAGGGTAATTTTAAGGGAATTGTTACTAGATGTTTGCTCCTCCATCCATAAGTTTCATCAATTTTTCCATTATATAGATTCTTGGCATTCAGTTTGGTTGACAGTTTCTTTTTGAAAGGAGAAAGTCAACAGAGAGTTATAAATACATCAACACACACCAATATCTTACTATTTTTTTTAAAAAAATATTCCTGCCTGTTAACAGAAAATATCTCAAAAGGAAGAAACATTCTTAGAAATTTTATCAAACCTTAGAAAAATGTTTAAAAATATCAATGAGCTATTTGTGGGATTATTCTTTATTTTTGGTTTGCAGAAACTTGGAGAAGGTAGTGAAATAATGATGAGAGTCATACAGTTTACTGATTAAATTATTCATTTTCATTGGATGTCCAAAAACCAATGACCTCGTCAGATTGGGCTGAATTTGGAGGCAACACCAGTTTCCATCCCATGACACAAAGCTCCTTCTGGCAGGGCTCCATGGTAAAAGGGAAGGGGAACACAAGAAGATTCCTGTGTTTCATAGAGATCAACGGGGGGAAGCAGGGGGACAGAGGCTTCCCCCCCCCCCGGTGGAATGAGGTAAAGAGGAAGCTGGGCAGTGCAGGGTGTAGTTCCCCCCCCCCTTACTGGGTACTGCCAGATTCATCACAATGTGTGGCAATTCTGGCAGCAAATGGGATGAAATCCCAAGACTACTTATCAATTTGTCAATACAACTATTACTTACAAATTCAATGGATTTCTCTGTGCCACTACTCCTCAGTAGTATAATACAGAAGCATCATAGATTATTTACCTTTTAAAATGCAATACTTTTATTAGAACTACCAAAATGAAACAAAAATCTGTGCAAATTTTCAAGGTCCATCCATCAGGCAAAACGGTACAAAAACAGGCAGGGGAAAGCAGGATATGATTTGATTTTAAAATCATGTCTATGGACACCAGGCTGTTTATGTGCAGCAACTGAGTTGTTGAAGCAAACGGGAAAATACCGGTGATGTACCAGTTTGAAAACTATCACCATCACACCTGCCTGCAAGAACATTATTGTGCCCTGTCTTTTGAATCTCATCTTTTGGTCCTTTCTTTTCCTGTCCTGCCATTTATCATCCTGTTCCATTCCCCATTTTCTGTAGGCTTTGAAAAATTGACTTCCTGTCCCGCAAACTTAAAAAATATATACACAAAGTGTTGCAGAAGCAGGGGTTTTTTTCTTTTCTTCTTCTTTCTATTTGAATATTTGTTGCTCTGTCAGAGGGGACAACTGTGTTGGCAACTGGAAAGGGGAGAGGTACAGAGTGATAGACTGAAAAGGAGGGGATGCCGTAAGATTAAAGAAGGAGGTGTTTTCTGTGGAGGAAGGAAATTGGAGCTGGTCTTGCTAAGTGTCCTTCTCCATTCCCTGAGGCTCACTCTTCCATGCATAAAACCAACTTTTACCTGCTTAAGAATAATGAGGGGCAGGAGGGAATGGAGGGGAGAGGAGTAGCATCACAACCATTCACTCAATCAACAATATTGGGGGACATTGACAGGTTTTCCTGTCAGTGAAAAAGTGTACTTCACCAATGATTTAAATGCAAAGCAGCAATGGAAGAGACACAATGTCATATGATAAGTACTGGCTACAGATGCTACAATACTGCCATTTACCAGCTTCATGTGATAGTCCTGTGTGTTGTATTAAGAGATAATGGCAAAAGGGCACTACAGGTTAATCGGGTCTTATCTTGAAAGGCCCCTAGGCTTGCTGGGAAGAAGAAAAGCAATAAAAACGCAATAAAGGTTGATTTTTCATTTTGAAAATTCAACCGCACACACACATCTATACATTTGAAAATGTAGCTTTCAGCAGACAAGCAATCTTACCTTCTGTGCTCGTCGCTTGTCAGCTCTTTGATTCTGATGATAAATCCGACTGAAGTTGGAAACAATAACTGGGACAGGAAGTGCAATAACAAGCACACCACTCAGTGAACAAATGGAGCCAAAGATCTTGCCAGCAATTGTCTTGGGTACCATATCTCCATAACTGGTGTAAAAGAGAAACAAAAGAAGGTGGGGATATTAAGATTAAGCTGACTACATGTGAAGTGCTATCAATTATATCAGCTGAATGTAGGAACCAGAGGTCTTGTACACTTGTACTTCATTAAAAGTAATTCCAAACTTTTATCAGTTCTCTGTGAAGTTTGTTGGTCATTGTAAAGGAGAAGAAGAGAACTGGAATTTCAGCTACAGTGTTCTCCACTCTCTGTTGTTTTTTTGGGGCCCTCCTTAACTGGTTTATTTTCTAAAATGCTTACATTGGCAACAGTCTGCTTCACTGGATTCTTCATTTAGCAGTTTTACAGAATAAACCCTGTGGCCCAGTGGATAAAAGCTCTATAAAAATGACAGATGATGTTCCAGCCTGAGTCTACTTAGTTTACATTCATTATGATCTCAAGTTGATGGATGAATTTAGTTATACCTCTTTTTCTTCCAAACTCTTTTAGATTCTGCATCTAGAAAAAGAGAGTTGACTTCAGGTTTTAGATCAAAAACTACAAGTCTTATGAGTTTTCAAGTTTGGAGTCCAGGAGTACTTAGGGCAATTAATTTTCTTTTTAAAAAGAACATGAGAAACAGGTCTAGCAGTAGATAATGTGATCTAGGAAGGATAAAATCCAAATACTATCCCCATCATATTTCAAGCAGCACTCACTAGATACCCCCCAAATAAGCAGCTCACAGGAATGCATCTACTAAGGCATCAAAATTCCACCTGATGTAATAGTTCCAACACATGTTGATAGTCATCGTAGCAGCTGTCATGATAGTGGCTAAATACCATTTTCTCACTTTTACTTAAAAAAAATTACTGTGACCCACAAAACACAAACTAGAAAAAGGGAAACTGAACAATAAGGAAACAAGTCAATTGCAAAATCTGACAAAACAAATCTTGCCCTCCTCAGCACTTTCTCACTCTCCCCCTCTTCCTCATACAAACAGTCATTCAGTTTCTCTCTTCAAATCAGATCTCCCAGAGGCCTTCATTGGTGATCCAAGAGTGATAGAAGCAGATTATCTCTAGCATCTGGGAGGTTGTCAACTAAAGATGCCAGGCTAGAAACATCCCAGGTCCTGAGGTTACAGGACCCCAAACTGAGACCCAGTGATGGCCTTTGGTAATGTCATGGTGGATGGATCACAATGATAACACAAGTTATACTTTCTTGTAATGTAACGGGGTTGAAGTTACATCACAGTAAGTATCAAGCCATATCATTCAAATGAAAAACAGCTTGAATATGCTATGATTTTTAAAAACATATTTTAGTTATAGTTTCATGTTGTTCCTAGAGGACAGCAAAGAGTCATAAAGGCAAGAAACTGGGAACGGAGAAGGACATAGATAAGTAAATCAGAGAAGTGGAAGTGGAAACAGAAAAAAAGACATAAAAGAGAAAAATATTGGGAAGAAAGGAGAAAAATAAATGTAATCCAAAGGATGGGAGAATTGAGAGAAGGGGAAAAAAAAAGGAAAGATACAGTGGGGGACTATGAAAGGAGAAAAGGGGGTAAATTTAACTAAGAGATGTTGGGATGGAGAGAAGAAGGTATAAACAGACAGATAAAGAAAAGATGAAGACATTTAGCTAGGAAATGTAGTCAGAGTCAGAAAGAAGGAGAAAGAGAGAGAAGAACATAGAAAGGGGGGAGGGTTGGTTGTGAATTACCAGAAAAAAAGAGACTAGAGAGAGAAATAAAAGAGCTGAAATTAAAAGAGAAAGGAATCAATCATCTAAGCAAAACTCAAAAAGAAAGATATTACAACCAACTATTTTGTTAAGAAAGGTACAAACAACATACCTCAGACCACGAAAGGAAATTGTAATTGGGTGCAAACATGTTGAATACAATGAAAAATGGGAAGGGAAAAAAAGCAGTTTTTTTTAAAAAAAATAAAAAATAAAATAGAGATAAGCTACAAAGCAGCAACCTTGCCATACTAAATTCAGTGACACCAGAAGCAGGAAATACTGAAATAGTATGTTGTATTTATGTATGTTGGTTGTTCTCTCTGCTTGAATTCTGTTTTTTTGTTGTGTGCTATCTGGGACCTCTTCACACGGCCCCTGAGGTTGCCCAGTAGGTTTCCATTTCCAAGTGAGAATTCAACAGTGGTCTTCTAATGTCCCAGTTCAATACATAAACCACTACACTGGCTTCTGGTGCTAGCTACCATTTCAGAAAAGTTGTAAGGAGAGGGAGGTGGCTAGATAAATCCCATTCAATTTACATCAGGCATTCCATTGTAGCCTTTAGCAAAATGGAGTTTACCAGCAGTCTCTTCTCAAGGCAGCACTCTTGCTCTGAGAAGACCCTGAGGTCTTCTCAGAGCAAGACCATGGCATCTGAGAGCATCATATATCATAGTAATAAAAAGTTGCTTTTTTGGACAGTAGATCCCAGGATCTCCTAGCCAGCACAGCTGCTCGAGATATTCTGGGAGTTCTAATTCAAAAGCTCTGGTGGATGTCAGTATGTAGGAAGAAGTCAGCAATGCCATCAGCCAACAGAAGAATAACAAAGCCAGTGGACCAGATGGGATCCCTGCTGAAATCTTTAAAGAGGGAGGACCTGAGCTGACACACCAACTCCACCAGCTCATAGAAAAAGTGTGGGTGACCGAGAAAATCCCAGCAGATTTCAAGGACGCCACCACCATCACCCTCTTCAAAAAAGGGGAAAGAACAGACTGCGGAAACTATCGAGGTATCTCCCTTCTAACCTCCGCTGGGAAAATCCTCGCAAGAATCCTTGCAAACCGCCTTCTGCCCCTCTCAGAAGACACCCTCCCAGAATCCCAGAACGGCTTCCGCCCCCCCAGAGGAACCGTGGACATGATCTTCACTGCACGACAGCTCCAAGAAAAATGCAGGGAACAAAACCAACCTCTGTACATGGCATTCATCGACCTTGCAAAGGCATTCGACACAGTGAACCTCAGCGCTCTCTGGACCATCCTCCACAAAATCGGGTGCCCTAACAAATTTGTGAACATCCTGCGGCTCCTCCATGATGACATGATGGCAACAGTCTTGGACAGCAGTGGCTCCCAAAGTGACCCATTTAAGGTGGAATCCGGTGTCAAACAGGGATGTGTTATTGCCCCAACTCTATTCTCCATCTTCATCGCTATGATACTTCACCTTGTTGATGGGAAGCTTCCCACCGGAGTGGAAATCATCTATCGGACAGATGGCAAGCTATTCAACCTCAGCAGACTGAAAGCCAAAACCAAGGTTACAACAACAGCTGTTATAGAACTCCAGTATGCTGATGACAATGTCGTCTGTGCGCATTCAGAAGAAGATCTACAAGCCACTCTAAACACCTTCGCAGAAGCATATGAGAAGCTCGGCCTGTCACTGAACATTGAGAAAACCAAGGTGCTGTTCCAGCAGTCACCAGCCAATCCCTCTCCAATGCCAGTAATACAGCTTAATGGTGTCACATTAGAAAATGTGGACCATTTCCGCTACCTTGGCAGCCACCTCTCCACCAGAGTCAACATCGACGCCGAAATACAACACCGCCTGAGCTCTGCAAGTGCAGCATTTTCCAGAATGAAGCAGAGAGTGTTTGAGGACCGGGACATCCGTAGGGAGACCAAGGTGCTTGTCTATAAAGCTATTGTCCTCCCAACCCTGCTATATGCCTGTGAGACGTGGACTGTCTACAGACGTCACATGCAACTCCTGGAACGATTCCATCAGCGCTGCCTCCGGAAAATCCTGCAAATCTCTTGGGAAGACAAGCGGACAAATGTCAGCGTGCTGGAAGAAGCAAAGACCACCAGCATTGAAGCGATGGTCCTCCAACATCAACTCCGCTGGACTGGCCACGTTGTCCGGATGCCTGACCACCGTCTCCCAAAGCAGTTGCTCTACTCCGAACTCAAGAACGGAAAACGGAACTTGGTGGGCAAGAAAAGAGGATTTAAAGACGGGCTTAAAGCCAACCTTAAAAACTGTGGCATAGACACCGAGAACTGGGAAGCCCTGGCCATTGAGCTCTCTACCTGGAGGCGAGCTGTGACCAGCAGTGCTGCAGACTTTTAAGAGGCATGAATGGAGGGCAAAGAGAGAAACGTGCCAGGAGGAAGGCACGTCAAGCCAACCCCGACCGGGACCGCCTTCCACCTGGAAACCAATGCCTTCACTGCGGAAGAAGATGCAGAGCAAGAATAGGCCTCCACAGCCACATACGGACCCACAAGGAAATCCATAATGGAAGACCATCTTACTCGTCCAACGAGGGATCGCCTAAGTAAGTAAGTAAGTAAGTAAGTAGTAGGATCACTGATATCAGTATGTAGGACTTCACTCTGATTAATAATAAATCCACCTTTGAAAGTCACAAAACCATTCTACTGAGTTTATTTTAATTGTTATACTACTGTTTAATAACTTTAATCATTTATTGTACACCTATGGTCTTTCACAAATGAGGCATCTCTAACTCCAGTCCAACCTCCTGTTCAATATAGGATCTCCAGCTAAAGCATCATGAGCAAGTAGTTCTCTAGCATCTTTTTGAAGATGTCCAGATGTGGCCCAACTATATCTTTTGGCAATTGGTTCTATTGCCAAGTATAGTAAATCTGCACAATAATTCTATAATCATTCATTTTGCTGCCAGAAAATCTTCAAAAACTGCAGTTCATGATTTATTCTGTGCAAAATCCATGATTTTTAATGAAGAAAATAGTGTGAACTTTGTAGAACACATATTTTGCAGCATTTTATGTATAAAAAAAATAACAAAAGTACTCTTCTGCACAAAACCCATGTGCATTTCTTTCTTCAGAAGTCCAGAATTGCAAAGATCTCATTGGTCTCAGATTCTTCTCATCAAAAGCTTACATTTAAAAATTCATTTTAAAAACGATTTTTGGAATTTCTTTCCCTTAATTAACTAGGGGTTTTGTGACACTCCAGTGATAAACAAATTTAATATGCTCTGAACAACATTGTCTTT